TTCGAAAATACTCCCGATAATTCTAAATCACTTGTCAACAAGGAAAGTCAAAAATTCATACGATCGATCGAAATCCTTGGTAATTTATTAAACGAGAACGAATGCCAGAATTATGGTGTCCGCGAGTTTAAGTGGCACAGTAGTTCCCAAAACGAAAATGTTGAATAAAGAAATCATTGAAAACTGAATATTTATTAACCCATTTGCATCATACGACAAAATAGGAAACGTAACCACATCACCACTGTTTGCTAACAATGTAAGGCGCGTGTGTACGCGGTCTAGTGATAGTGGTCACGCAAAATATGCACAAACGTGCGCTAGTGATGCTAACTGGGTCAACCCAATCGCATCATATGCCAAGCTGTACTCGCATAAAGTTTTTTCACCGTAAAAATCATATAATTATATATAAATCATGTAGTCATACATAAATCATATAATCGGATAAAAATGTTTACTGGTTGATTTTACATGATCATTTAAAAATTTTATAGAGCTGCTAAGTACGCCACCTCACTACTAGGGTATTTAAATCAGATACCACTGACACTTATGAGGGTATTGAAATATGATGCAAATGGGTCAATCGACTATTCGAATATTTAGCAATTAAATCCTTGTACCGATCGAAAGTTCAATTCGGGCCTCGTCCACGACTGGTTCCAGAAACTGCGATGCAAAACGAAATCATTCTGACGTATACGAGCACGGGTGCACGCGTGTCCATTACACACGGTGCAATGCATATGAGTCCCGGAGATACATCTAACGCGGTACAACTAGTCCTGTAAAGATACGACGATCCTCTAATGATTATTACATTCGCGTGGAGGAGACGTTCGAATGTAATGGAGGCGTTCCACGGTGCCGCGAAGCGTAGTCTACTTTATTGCGCACGGAGAAAGAGAGACAGAGAGAAGTTCGAAGTGTGTAAAAGACTATTGCACTATACCGAATCACGATAGTAGCTCGATTACCTAGACAACGCCGGCGATCCACGGCAATACGGATTCCACGTGCACTTTGTCTGGCGACGTGCAGTCGACGTAATTAAAAATAACTTTCAACAACCATCAATCAACGTTTAAGGGTTAAAGCTTTTTAATTTGGAACAATTTACGAATATATACATTCCAAAAATTGAAAAGCTACACACATGATTCGTACTATTCATAGAAATTACTCGATTCTGGTGGTTAGTCTCCTCGTTTACAATGAAATTTAATGGACAAAGTTAAATAATTTGGATAAATATGAGAATAAGAAACATTACAAAGAATTCCATAATGAAACAATGGGTTCTGCGTTTACGTGTTCTGAATTTATTTATCCTTTCACTCTTGAGAAAACTATTATGTCCTTTTCCATAAGCATACAATTCTGATAAAAAATTGAAGTGATCACAAAAACTTTAATAAATAACTTATGTTCATTAAAATTTTTTGAATGTATATATTCGAACATGAAAACTATGTAGATTTACTTTATTCCGAATTTGACGAAAATTAAAATCTTTCCGATCCTTAAATGTTGAGCATTGGAGGAAAAATTTCAAACGATCTTCAATCATTGTAATCAAATCTAGTGGCCTTTTAGTAACTAATTATTTGATATATGGGGCGTTTAATAATCAGAAAAATCGTTCGTCGCCGGAGACGCTTGATCGAAATGATCGCCGATCGCTAGGATACGCGTTACACGGGTACTGTTATATCGAATAGACAAGTATCGGGTAAAAACGGGTCGCGTAACGGAAAAGGAAAAGGGGGTGTGACTTCGTTGCGAAAAGGAGGGAGGGGTGGGGGAGCGGGGTGGGAATTTCGCTTGTTTGCCGGGAAAAGTTTGGTGGTTGTTCGTCAACCCTTTCTTTTTCCTAACCGTTCTCCCTCTCCTGTTGGTGGAATGTTTCTCTGAGTTCTCGAGCTCGGTCGTGGTGACCATGGCCATCGATCATCCGCGTGAACATATTTTACAATGTCGCAAACAGTATATACACACAATACGATCCGTATATTTATATATATATACATATACGGTGTGTCCGGTTCAACTAGACGCGCACAGTTGTCTCTTGAACTGATAGAAATGCAGGAATGTTGTTAGTTCAGTTCTTATAAACAACTAACCTAAACCATTCTTTTGTTTATTTGTCACGTTTCGACATGAAATGTTGTCGAGTAACGCTCAGCAATATTCCCATTAATACTTAAAACGTGAAGTATTTATGACAGCGATCTGTGAAATGCAATGTATTGACTGTGAGTATCACAGTGACGCGTTTCTTCTTTTTTGGATTTAATTGAATTTGTTTATATTATTGATCACTTTCTCGTGATCGTTGAAATATTTTTATTGAGGTAAATAAAGTTTCTTTTTAAATATTGGTTAAGTTGAGAAAAGTGAATGAATATTCAATGGTCCACGGAAACTGAACGCGTATTAAATTGTTCCTCGAATTTCGAATATTTTTATCTGAATATTAAGAACCATTAATTTGAACAGTAGTATTTGCAATATTAATATTCGTTTTTCAATCATTCGGTTTACAATTTCGAACAACACGCACGTGAAAATGTTGAATAAAATGTTTATTACGTACTTTACTTTATTTACTTTATTTACCCCGTCGATGCGAGTAGAGCAAGGATACAGTTACACAATAATTTCACAAAATAGTCGAATGTAGCGTATATTCAACTTGAAATCGAACAATGTTTCCACAGACAACGTTCCGCCATTTCGAAGCAATTGGAGAAAGAATCGCGGGCACACTGTCAAACCCGCCACACCGTATACAATAATTACAATAATAATAATAATATATATCTATATATATATATATATTCTCTCTTGAAATTTCGTTAAAAGAAACTCGTTCGTCCGCAAGTATTCTTTCACTGTTTCTTTTTTCTCGCGTCGTGATAACGACGAATGCGTATATAAACTATGTACAAAACAACGACAGAATAGAATCAACGCGCGAAACGTCCAGTTTCGCGAAAAAACTAGTTCTCCGACGAAGAAGGCTATCGATCCCTTCTTCGTCCGCGGTACTCGCGAGGTACCGGCAATTCGTAACGAACGGTGTCGTGATGGGATACAATATTAATATAAAAATGGTGGTAGCGAGAAATGGACGAGACACATGACCGTTTGCAACGAACGCAATCGAAAAGAAGGAAAAATCGGTCGGGATAAATTCGATATCTACGGCGGAAGATAACGGACGCGACGCACCCCTAATATCGCGTGTGCTTCTCGAATTTTCTTTTATTTCTTTTTTTCCTTTTAAACGGGTTAAGACGATTCCTTGGTCCGATGGGAACAACAATATCACTCTCTGAATCGAAGTCGCTTAAAACGAATTAAAAAGAAAAAAAACGAAAGAAATAATAAAACAAAAAGGAAGAAATAAACGCGTGTATATATAGCGCCTACGTATATTATCGTATTATTAATAATCAGTGTTCTTTGGTAACACAGTGATGCGTCCGGAGACCACAAATACGGTTTCAACGTATTGTCCGATCGTGACAAGATGGTCCCGATAAATATGTACAGCTCGAGTCAAGAGCCGTGGATTATAGCGATTGCATAAGTAATAGAAACTTTCTTGCCATTGAATCTGTTGACACCATCAACGAATCTGTCGAGGATTTCGGTGAAATTTGAATGACTAATGGATAGCTGTGTTTAATCTTTACAATACAACGTTTAAAGTATAAAATAACGTCAAAAATGCTAGGATCCTTATAAACTATAAAAAAGTTTGTCCTGGCAGATAGATTAAACAGTAATGCAGTTTAATTTTTTTGGGATGATCAAATCACAACCGATTTTGGGAACTTGAAAGAATATTTCTTTTTTTCTTTGAAGTGTCTTAAGAATAATACTACTCGTAAAGATGGAAATAGTATTAGATTTACATTTGGCAGTACCGTTAACAAAATATACGTTTCCAATGAAACTAACAACTTCATAAATAATTAAAATATAACAATTTTTAGCAAATTAAATTTCTTCACTAAATATAATTATTTCAGGAATGTAACAAACTATTAATTGTTTACGGTATTGCTCGCGAAGTATCGAAATAGTTGAGAATGTCTATTTCTTAAAAATCTGTCAGTAGTAACGAAAGTTTTTATGGGCCAAAACGTAAATGAACAAAAAACATAAAACTAATCATTTATCCAATTATTAACCTATTTCTTTAATTTTTTATACAATTCTCATAAGATTTCAATAACCTTCGAACCAATAAATTCTCAAATTAATCAATCTAAAGCGAAAAATTTTGTTCGTTCACCTCCCAAAGAAGAGAAAATCACGAAAAATCGAATTGGACAGAATAAATAATTTATTTGCCC